TTTTTGGTTGGGAGTCTTTTGATGACTTGGTTGATTTCTTCTTTTGTTATGTCTGCCCCATAATTTATTGGGATATTTGGAGGAAAGTGATGTAACAATGTGTATTTTCAATAGACTGTATTTAACCAAGGAGGCAGTAATTTGAAATTTTTGTTCAGTTTCCTCAGCTTAAGAAATGCTGGAGCTGACCTTTGAAATTTTTTTTTTCAGATCTTGGAGCTCCTAACTTCTTCCATTTGCTTTAGTATCTTTATGCTAGAGAGCAAGTTTAAGAGTCTGTTTAGGTCTTTTCCTTCTTTCGTGTCTTCTTAATGATCTTTTGCTTTCTTGCTTTGTGATGTTCTTGATTTCATCCCACAACTCTCTGATCTTTGGTCTTTAGTGTCTAGTGCATCAAATCTGTTCTTCAGATGATCTCTAAATTCAGGTGAGATGTATTCAAGGTCAAATTTTGGCTCCTATGGACTTGTTTTCATTTGCTTCAGCTTCAGCCTGCATTTGAGCAATTGGTGGTGTGTTCCACAGTCTGCCCCTGATCTTGATTTAGCTGATGATATGGAGCTTTTCCACCGTCTCTTTCTACACATATAGTCAATTTGATTTCCGTGTTTTCCATCTGGTGACGTCTGTGTGTATAATGTCTTATCTGCTGTTTAAAAATGGTATTTGCAGTGAAGAAGTCATTGGTTTTGCAAAATTCTAACATGTGGTCTCTACCCTCATTTCTATCATCAAGGCCATATTTTCCAAATATGGAAAAAAAAGGATCCTTCCTCTTTGTTTCCAACCTTTTCCTTCTATTTACCAGTAATTATCAGTATATCTTGATTGCATTTTTTTTTAAGTTTTAATTATGAATTGAGTGACAGTTTACATGGGAGAATATTGGTTTTACTGATTGCATGTTTGATTAGTTCCAGACTGAAGAAGTTGGTTGTTGTTGTTGTTGTTAAGTGCCATTGAGTTGGTTCCGACCCATAGCGACCCTGTATAGGGTTTCCGAGGGGCATCTGGTGAGCAGTTCAAACGGCTTTCCAGTCTGGTGCATTAACCCACAGCACCACACCAGGACTCATCATTGCTTGTTTTCATGGTTGGTGTGTAAATTTGAATAATAGTGGTATTAACTGGTTTTCCTTGCAGGTGCATGGATATTATCCTATCATAGACAGCGTTGTACCTCATGACTGATCTTGATATGTTCTTTTTGATGATGAATGTGATGCCATTCATCTTCAATTTGTCATTCCAGGAATAGTAAACCACGTGGCTGTCAGATTCACATGGCCAATACCAATCCATTTCAGCTTGCTAATGCCTAGGATATCGATGTTTATGTGTTCCATTTCATTTTTGACAATTTCCATATTTTCATACTTTGTACATTCCAAGTTCCGATTATTAATGAATGTTTACAGCTGTTTCTCTTCATTTTGAGTTGTGCCCCATCAACAACTGAAGGTTCCGAGGACTTCACTTCATGTCATCACAGTCAGCTCTGCTTTTGAGGAGGCAGGTCTTTTCCAGTCACATTTTGAGTGCCTACCAACCTGGGGGGCTCATCTTCAAGCACTGTATGTGACAATATTCTGGTGTTCTTCGTCATGTTTCAGTAGTCAATAATCTGGTGCTTACCTGCTCCACTGCTATTTATAAGGTTTTCAGTGACTAAATATTTGGAAGTATAGTCTGTCTATCCATCTACCTAGTCTGTCTTAGTCTGGAAGCTCATCTGAAACTTATCCACTGTGGGTGACCCTGCTGGTGTTTAAAATACCCATGGCATAGCTTCTAGAATCACAGCAATTCACAAGCCACTGCAGTACAACAAACTCCCAGATGAGTGGTGGAGCTTATATACTAGAGATACTTTATTAGAGGGCACTGACATTTGAGTCCTATAAAGCATTTGATTGGTTAATTGATGCATTTAGGCCTGCAGTGGGGTGGTGTGGGTTGGGGGGTTGAGATATATTTCAAAATGTCTAGGAGAGTTTGATAAACACCTTATCGGGAGTGTATAATAGTCTTTTATACACTCCCCTCCCTCCCCCCGGGGCTGAACATCTTTATTAAATAAATGACTAAATGGCAGTACAAACCAGCAGCAGTAACTTTGGAAGGGGCGGGCACAAGATATAGGTCATGATTTCATGGTTTCAAGGTGGCTGAAGATCTGTACCTAAAACCCATTGATAGACATTGTACATTGATGGTGATCAAGTGGGTCTTGTGTGATTGTTGTAGTCCTTTACCTTTGCTTTAATTTGTATTTTTGTAAGTTGAATAGAAAATTTTTTTTCTTTTAAAAATTAGAACATTATTAGAATTGTGCTATTAATATTTGAGTTGCAAATTCAAATGCGCATTAAATCTAGCTGTTAAAGAAATGAGGAGTAGAATTTCCTGAGAAATCAGTACTGTCTAAGCCTTTGTTCTTTGCAGCAGAGGTAAAGAATTTCTGCTTCTGTTTTTTCAGGGATACAAGCAGCAGTGAAAGTGGAGACAGTTCTGATTCTTCTGATGATGAGTTAATTGGCCCTCCCTTGCCTCCCAAAATGACAGAAGAACCAGTTAATCTTATGGAAGAAGATATTCTTGGTCCTTTGCCTCCACCACTTTCTGAAGAAGGGGAAGATGACGACGATGATGATGATTCAGAAGAGGAAGAAGTAAGTATTTCGGTGGTAATGCCAGAACTCATTAGAATAATGTCTTTAAAGTAGTGTAGGGATAACTACTAAGGTATCATTCATGAGTGAAAGCAAATAAAAAAATTATATACGTATATAATTGAGTTGGAGTCCTGGTATGGCGCTGTGAGCTAATGCATTGGACTGCAAAGTCATTTGAACCACAAGGTCGGTGGTTCAAGCTCACCAACCGCTCCATGGAAACCCTATACAGGTTCGCTGTGGATTGGAACTGATACAACGTTACTTAACAACAATAACAAATATAAGTGAGTTTACTACGAATAACGCTTGCTGAAAGAACTGTAAGTGATGCACTTCAGGAAGGAGGAAGTAGAATTTAGAAATAAGCAATGGGGTGCAGGATACAACTTGTTAAATTAAGAAACATTTGATTAAATATATGGAGACATTGAATCAAAATGATGATGAATACTTTGGGGATGATTTTAAAAAGTAGATCTAAAATTATTAATCGTTAAGTGCCGTCGAGTTGGTTCCGACTCATAGCGACCCTGCATAGGGTTTCCAAGGAGCGACTGGTGAGCTTGAACCACCGCCTTATAGTTCAAATGGCTTTGCAGTCTGGTGCATTAACCTACAGCACCACACCAGGACTCCAAATTTATTAATAGTAATTGTTAATAATGTGGGAGATGAGAGAGAGGAGTTTAGAGTTCCTTCATTTTGTGATCACTCTAGTGCTTGGGAGGCAGTTGGTGCTATTACTTAACTTTAGATTAAGTCAAGTATACAAGGTACAGCTTTAAGGTTAACTGTTCAAGGTTCTGAAATAAAATTTGTAACTTCCAAAAGAATAAATGGAAAAATGAGAAAGTAAAAAAACCCAGTGGTATATTTGGTGTATTCGATACCTGGAATGGATAATTTTTTAACTCTGCCCTCTTCTATGTGTTGGAGTCCTGGTGTGGAACTTAACAACAATAGTAATTCCTCTATGTGATAAATTGTTTTCACTAATGAAATGAAGTGAGTAAAAACAACGGGCAGAAAGAACAGCTATTCCAAATCTGTCAGTGACTGTCAAAGTGGATATATTTATAGTCACATCACAGTATGCCAAAGTTGTCAGCTGATCTTGTTTCATAGTTGATACATACAAAAATGGCTTGGAGGCCATGTCTGACTTCCTCTGGCTTCACAAATTTAAACATCTCAAGACTAATTCTCAGGAGGGGGAGGTCCTGCTTCATCCTACAATCTTCTTTACCCTATTCTGATACCAACTGCCCCTCACACCACAGCATCCTTATTGCTCTGCTAGGTTCAATAATCCGTTGCAATGGTCACACAGAACTCAGACAATACTCACGATTATGGAGGTTTTTAGGGAAGTAAACGGTATAATTCAGGATCACAAGCAACTCAGGATGAGCAGTTCTGTAGTCAAAAGCACCTCTTCTCTGCTGTACTGCAGGCACGCTTCATTCTTATCTTCAGCCTCTCAGCCATGTGCCCCCTCGATCTCTGCCCTGCTTGGGCTAGTGTTGAACAACAGTTCCTTTAGCCTGTCTGTAAATGCTCAAACGCCAGCCTCCTGCCTGTAGGCACATAGCTTAACTGGGTCTCACCATACTGCCGCCTTTGTCTCCGCTGCTTTTCCAGGTAGGATTTGCATGCTCTGCTCATGGCTTTTCTTTCTTGATGGCCCTGGATTATCTGTTTCTGCTTCTGAGATGGCTCCTTTTAAATCTGGCCAGATAGCAGGACTAGCCAGTACTAGTGTTCGAGTCCCATATACACTATTTGCATGATTCTACCAATCATTTGGTGGGAGTCACAAGGACCATGGCCAGAAAAGACATATTAAATACATTTGCTGCACCACAATCCAAAAAAAACTTTTTAAAACTTATTTTGAAAAGATTTTTTCACATGAACCAGTGTCTACATACATATGCTTATGTGCATGTATGTATGTGTATATTTATGATTATCATTTAAATTATAACTGGAAAAATCAAATATAGGATTAATTCTTCAGTTTCATGAAAACTCTTGTTTCAAAACAATTACAATGTGGACTACATCCTTTTCCTTTGTAGATAAATTCTTACAGCTTTTAAGTATTTCTATAGTTAAAATATTATCACTAAAATTTCCTTACCAGAAAATTCATGGTTTTCTTTTATAGTACATAAAACCTCAAGTTTTCTCATGTAAAAATCAGTGAAAATGGCTAAGTTATACGAGTGTTGTCAGTAAATGATCCATTGCTTTAAAACTGTTATCTAGATTTTGAATTCTTCTGGCAACCTATCCCAGCATCTTTTGTTGTTTCTGTGGTATGAGTTGAATGATAGGATTTAAGTTTTACTAAAATTTTGTTTCCTTATCTTCATAATCATTGTTTATTTCAAATTTACTTTAAGTAGCATGTAGTATGACAATCATAACTATCCTCAAAACTTGAATGATTCCAAACCATTAAAAATGTCATCTGGAAACATGTAAACATGTATGCAGCTGTGTGTGTGTGTGGGCGGGGGGGGGAAGGTTAAGATTATAACTGGGAGTTCTCCAACATAACGTCATATGGAGTAAATCTGTATAAAAGATATGTAATAGAAATGTGTTAAGTTGAAACTTACATGTATTCTATTAAAACCTAACAGGAACCATTGTAAACACCATCAAGAGGTTTTTTCAGGGAAGACTATCACTGGCATCATCTGGGATTGCCAGTACATGATGGTAATAAAAAAACAGAATGATCTTTAGTTGATTTTATTATTGTTTTTAAATTCTACAGAAAATGCATTCCTTTCTTACCTGTACCTGGGGTGGACCATGTCCACTCCAATATTATTGCTGTGCAAATGAGGAAAACTCAGTGTTTCCAGTAAAAGGCAGGAAAGATGAAAAAGCTAGAGGGAAATCTTGGCAAACAATAAAGACAGAAATAATGAACGTAAAAGAATAGAAAAGAATATACCAAGAAAATACTAGCCAAAAGATAGCTGGTTAGTATTATTAAACTGGTGTAAAGTACCTTAGAGTTGTTTCTGACACACAGTGACCCTCTCTATAGGGTTTCCAAGGAGCAGCTTGGCAGTTTGAACCACCGACCTTGCAGTTCACTAACCTTAAAGACAGTGCTTATCCAATGGTGGCACATTAGGACTTAATGTCCTATAAAATAATCTTTAAATAATAAGTTGTTCAGGAAGATTTGGCAATTCTTAACCTGTGTACATAATTAAGACAGATTGTCAGGAGGGCCTGGTCACTGAAGAAGGATATCATGTTTGGTAAGGTGGAGGGTCAGAGAAAAAGAGGAAGACCCTCAGCGAGATAGATTGGCAAAGTGGCAACATCAATGGGCTCAAGCATGGCAACAATTGTGAGGTTGGCCCAGGATTGGGCATTGTTTCGTTCTGCTGTGCATAGGGTCAGTATGAGTCGGTACTGACTCGATGGCACCTAACAACAACCACTACCTCTGTACATTTAACATAGTAAACTCAGTGTATAAAGGAAATATTGCCAGAATTATGGGAAAAAATGGACAAATCTATAATCATAACAGGAGACTCAAAATTTGTTATGAAAATTAGTGAGAGTATAAATTTGAACAATAAAAGTGAACTAGTTTGATCTATTGAACTCACCATTTTCTTTTCAAACACACATGAACAAGTAAACAACAAAAGCAACACCCACAGCAAACACACATCTAGGCTATAAAGTGCTATGGAAACATTAGCTCCTATAGAAATATATGGATGGTATGATGATTTACTTTGGGTAATCACTAGGTTAGCTATGAACTGTGAGAATGGGTTTATGAGGCTGACAAGCGGCTGAGGGACAGAAAAAGGAAGAAAGGGTGTATTGCAAGAAAAAATAATTGCTCAAGGGAAGGCCCAAATATGTGGAAGTGCCTGGTTGTTGTTGTTAAGTGCCATCGAGTTGATTCCGACCCATAGCGACCATAGGGTTTCCAAGGAGTGCCTGGTAGAGTGGTGAAATACTAACCATGCATGCAGTTAATATAGGGCTGACTTTTCTTACTAGCAGGAAGTGGAAAGGTGAGGTTCAAATCCAGAAGACAGGAAGAAATGCATCTTGGAGAAGCTGGGATTTGAATTAGTCTCAGAAGATTCCACTTTGATGAGCACTGATAGAGGAGTAGAAAGCACTTGGGTGGTACAAACAGTTTGAGTTTGGCTGCTAATCGAAAGATGGGTGGTTCAGACTCAACCTTTCTCTGGAGGAAAGGCCCGGTGATCTGCTTCTGTGAAGATTATGACAAGAAAGCCCTGTGAAGCTCAGTTCTGCTCTGTAACACATGAGTCAGAATCAGCTCAGGGCAGTGGGCTTTTATTTTTGTTAACTAGTTTTTTGGTGGGGTAGGCCATGCCCTATTTCAGAAGAATGAATGGCAGGAACAGAGGGCTGTGTACAGGAGTAGTTTCAGTATACTAGGGAAATCTGCTTGGCTAGAACAATTGGTGGATAAAGAGGATCAGACCTTTGACTTGGGATTGGAATATTAATAAATTTCAAGTGCAACTATTCAGAGAATTAAAATAATAATTGGGTAGGGGGCTCACAGGGCTCAGGTCTATTTGTAAGCTTTAGTCATTCTGAGTTGTAGTTAAAGTTCTATCAGGATGCTGAATAACAGTTTTCTGGTTTGTATAAGATTATATGCGTTAGTTCTTTTGAAACAAATCTTTAAAAAGTTTTAAAAATGATTGTATCTTTTCTTTTGTAAGCATATTAAAAAGGGGACGTGGGGATAGGAAAATAAGTTGGTTAACTGAAATGCCTGTCAAGGCAAGGCTGTTGGTGATGTGTGCCAACAGCAGCGTCAGTTTTAAAGTGTGCAAAGAGTATTACTGGCATTATTAGTGGGTTAACATGGAAACATTTAGAAGATAGACAAAAATAGGAGAGAGAGTTTCCTTATTTTCTAATTTCTCTTTCCAACTTATAATACCACCAATATTTTA